CATCTACGCTCTGTGGCGAGTGTGTTATCAGGGTGCTTACGCACGCGCATGGCCTAGCAGGCGCCTAGGTTCAAACCCCAGCAGCAGCAAAACTCCCGGATCTTGATAATATAAATCTGGGAGCGGGGCGGGGCAGCGGGGCAGCGTGGGCGCGTGGCGCGCGCGCGTGCGGCGGCCTTGGCCTCGGCGCTTGCGCGCACGCGCTCGTGGTGGCGCCTGCTTTTTCCGCCACGTGTCACCTCCCCGCAGGCGCTGCTTTTTTCCCTCGTTTTCGCTGCAAATCACCCGAAAAACAGTGAAAAAAACCGTTGTCGGGTTTGCTGTTTTCCCCACTGTACGGGGTGCTGACCAGCTGTACGGGGTGGTGGGTGGGAGCGGGGAACGTTCTCGCTCCGATACCAATGTAGCGGACCCACCAGGTGTGGTGCTCCGCTAGTGATAGGGATGGAGATGGAGGAAGAAGGGGGGAGCAAGATGCACAGCGCAACTCCCACGCAAGACTCCAACGCACGTACTCCAAAATCGTGCAAGTGTAGAATGATCTCGGAAACAGACAACTGCTGGGGTATAACCCAGCGGACTGACGGGACTGGACTGGACTGGCTGGTACGGACAGAGGTACCGGCCTGGACTGGACTGGACTGGACTGCCCCCGAACAGAACACAGGCCTATGAGGACAGGCCAACGGGCTGGTCTCACAGGCCAACCAAAGGTCCGCTACATACTGGCAATCAACCAAACCTCTACAAGGAGAAGTGGTGGAATGGTTCAATAAGGGAATTGCAGAGCTAAGGGAAAGGGCGAAAAAATTATCCGTCAAATGCGCAAGAGACCGAAAAGTTGTCCTCGATCGGCTACTCCTCAACTTAGAAGAATGGGACAGCCAACCGACGGAACATCCCGTGGACATAAAACTATTCAACAAGCTCCAGATAGCGAGAGATCTGTACCAAGAGCACCTAGACCAGCAAGCCCAAGCATGGAGAATCAAGGGAAAAAAAAAATAAAAAAAAATCAGACTGAAGGTACGATGGCGAAACACTTATTCAGAAAGGCAAAAAACAGAGTTAGACAAAGTACGATTGCCGCTTTAAGACATCCCTTCCTTCAGGAAAACCCGACAGCACGGAATGCCTACCAAATAGTGGAATACGCCACTGACTATTACAAAAACCTCTACAC